AGAGTAGAGAATTGATGCAAAGTGTTCTGGAGGGAGGAGCGATAGCTGTAGATTTGTTAGTGATGCAGTATCTATGGAGCTCTAACTTCGGGGCTCAAATGCTTAAATTTGTACAGTTCAGCACATCCTTGCCAGTGATTTGTGAACAGATAGAGGGATTGTACTAAGTTACCCAAGGCCCTTGCTATCTCTGATGTCTGATTCTGTTTAGAGTGGGATTAACTGTATATAAATCACTCCCACTCTTGTGTAGTACTTGGGCTTCTCAGTGCATTTTTCAGTGTGTTTTCATTAGTAAGTAATAGTAGCTTAACGAAGCCAAGAATTATTTGTCTTTATAGGTGACATTAAGTTTAAAAAAATTCTGTTCCATTTGACTTTTCCTGTGATAGGAGGATGGGTTACTCAAGATGGAAAAACTGAGCTGTGCTGATAAAGCGGGGGGTTGGGGAAATGTTCCCATTGCTTTTGGTCACATCATACATGCTTCTCTGCTTTGGCCTGAGAAATGGAGAGAAGAATATGCTCAGCTGGATGGAAATGAGAAGGTGGTCAGACATGAAGCATTGGGTGGATTTTTTTAGGACAGCATGGGCTTGCGCATTTATATGCGAACAACCAAAGACGCTGGGCAATGGCAAATGCCTCCAGGTGGTCCTGTGGCTTTGGCAATGCTGAGGAGAAGCTTCGGTTTGGCCATGTTGTTGGTATTGGATAGCAGGTCAGGGGAGCTCGGGCACGCGAAGCATTTGAGAAGTTGGCTACTGAAGGTGGGCAGCAGAAGAGATGCTAGTAGTGTGGATGCCTCTGGGTGCTCTGCAGTGCTGGCTGCTACAAAGGCTTGTGCTTCTGGGTCAGAGCAGGGCTTGTGATTTAGAAAGTGATCATCCAGAGAATAAACAGTGGTGGTGTGCTTTGGGAGAAGACACTTCTGGGGCCCCTTATTTTCCTCTGTGAGCACAGGTGTATGCACACAAAGGAGATGTAAGTGTATGGTGGCAATAGTATTCTTCCAGAATTCTTTAATTGAATTCAGCTCTTATCAGTAAAGGGTAACTGTCATTGGCATGGACAGTGTGCATAGTGTATGGTTTTACTGTAAATTTGTAGTTTTACTTAGTAAAACTGTTGCATCACAGGATCTTTGGCCATTCGAGGAGCTCATTGTAACATTGTTTGAAAGGTCTTGCTCTGATTTTAATGCAATTTAAGGAAAGGAAAAAGAAATTACAGTATTGTTTGCTGTGGTTTGCACAAATCTCACTGTAAATCAGTGGGGAAGATTATCCTAATCTGCTTCCTACGTTGAAACCTAAAGATTGTATTGTGTATTAAAACACAATTTCAATGAAATTATTGAGGCTGAAGGTTGCCACCACTTCAGTGTCTCTTGTTTTAACTAGATAGGTTTACCACCAACCTAAAGATGTTTTCTGTGGCTTGTATTCCTGAAAGCTATTTCTTAACATTAAGCTGAAGGAAGATGAGATAGAGGACTAGATATTTAATTTTGGAGCTAATGGTTAAAAGTGTGTGATCAGCATTAGCTGCTGAGAATCCCTGGTTAAGCACTCCTCTACTGCTAACTTGCTGCAGCTACAAAATGACAGCACTCAGTATTTATTATCACGTTTGTTCTGAAAGTGGAGAAATGCCACCATTAGTAACATTGCTTCTTGTTAATACCTGTGATTCATTGTGGAAATACTGTTTTGAAGTGTCTTGGTGCTCCCTGGTGAATTTCTAGTAGTCATTTCCTATCTTGTAAAGAAGGAGTGTATTAATGGTGCTTCCTTTATCCCCCCTCTGGCAAATGAACAGTTGTCATAAAGCTCTGCTGAATCAGGATGCTGACCTCTTTTTGCATCAGTTCCAATAATTACACCCTTTGAGAGGTGACTTCCTTCTTTAAACAGTGCCAAGAAAAGGCAGCCCTTACCGCTTCATGGGTTTTTATCACTACAGCTGAAGGATTATGGGCATTATGATGCACAAGCTTTAGTCTTAACATTTGTGTTTAACTATCTCTTACGGAAGAAATACAGATGTGACACACTAAGCTTGGGAATACTGTTTTTCTGTGCTTGTGCATGCTTTTTTAATTATGCTGAGGACTTGAGTTTCACATTCAGTGTATAAAATGCACTTACGCAAGAGGTGAAGTATCCTGTGGGAAAAATAAGTTGGCTTCTAACAGAAACACAGCTCACCTCCCTTCTTCCTTCCTCAAAAGGGGGAAAAGTAGCATATTAGGAGTGCTTGCAAAGCTTGTTAATTAGACTGTATTACAGGTTCCTCACAGAAGAGAGTCCAGCTTTGCAGCTGTTCTGTGTCATCTCCCCCATAGGCCTGTAGTTGAGTACTTTATCTTCCATGGGAGCTGTAACAAATCTTTCGTTCATGGGAGCCAAAAATGCTGAGGGGGTGGGAGGGGAAAGACAGCCTATAGCAGACAATTCTTTGGCAATCTGTATGTGAGGAAAGATTTCTTGTTTTCAGTTCCCAATGCACAGGATTTCTTTATGTTTTATTAACTGGTCTAATTAAATGGTTTACCTTCTTTTTTAGTCAAATATGTTTAACTTTTAAAATAGAAAGTCCTGTTAAGTTTTGGATTTTGTGGGATATTGTATGATGTTTTTCAGCTTTTAAAGTTCCTTTAAATTGTGATTTTGTTTTGTTTTTCCCAAAAGTTTTAAAAACAGTTTGGGGTTTTGTCCTCTATTTTCTTTCTTTTTTTTGTTTTTTTGTTTGTTTGTTTGTTTGTTTGTTTTGCTGGTGTGGTATGTAAAGAAGGTCAGATAAGTGTAGTGGTGTTTGTCTTGTCTGTACCCTGGCATTTCTGGTCTTTACAATGCTCATCATCCTTGGTGTTGCTAGAGAATGATGTAGGAGATTATTGGGCTCTTGCTGAAGTTCAGTCTCCTTTCCAGTGCAGGTTGTGAAAGCTGTTGTGCAATTTAAACACCTTCTCCAAAATTTGAGTAGGTGTAGCGGAAATAAAGTGGTTTGCTTCTCTCAGAGCAACCTAAAATAATTGCTTCTTTTTGATGGTTCAAAACTCGCTTTGTTGTTGTTGTTGTTGTTTTGTTACTATTTTACAAATATTTCATTCAGCTGAGGAAAAAGCTAAGAAATTGTCACTTAAGCCAGGGAGTAAAAAGCTTCTGCAAATTTTTTTTTTTCTTTTCCTTTTGAACGCTAAAGAATTAAAAAAAATTCCACAAGCCCATTATCCTTGAGATGAAAAGCAAGAACTTCAAATGAAACCCCTCGCTCGTATACCTGAAAGCATTCAGGAATCTGATATGACTTTAGAATGACTGTTTAATTAGACTTAGAGTAATTTAATCAGATTTAATGATATTTTAATGGCCTACAGAATTACCTCATTCAGATTACCTATTGGAGATGTGTGTTCTGTGGGAAATGTATTTGTGTGTATGTAGTGTGTAGGATTTTTTTGTTTGTTTGGGTTTTCTTTGAAGAAATATACTTGTGTTTGTCTTAAATGTCTGTCAGATAAATATGGGGTTGAACTAAGTGACATGCTTACTTAGCACTAATCACGACTCCTGAATGGTACTTAGCGTTGTATTTTGTGGAAGCATTCACAGATATTCTACCAAGACTATATTGTGTATACCAAGAGTATACTGTGCATTTTAAAACTCATAGTAGAGTGATCATGTAGAGTATAGCAACTTGCTTCATTAAAGTCAGAGGCTTTCTTTTATGAAACAATTGAATCTCACTTTGCTTATCAAACAGTAATGTACTGTTTCTGAAGAGTGATGTGAAACATTAGTGACCCTGCATGACCTAATTGAATTTATGCTCCAGTCCTCATTTCAGTTATTTATTTATCTGGCTAGACTCATAATATTTTTTTTCTCCTTTTTTTCCAGGGTGGAGGGAGGAAGTTTATACAGCTGAACATCCTTTACTTTAAACTGTTCCTTCAGAAGGAATTTGTATAGCAGCTAAAACTTGTAGATGAGGGGGGCTGGCAATTCCAGTGAGTGTAGTGTAAAACTAGAAATTTGGAACATTTTTACATAGATGGCTTTGCCCAGTCCAGATGTATGTTGCTCTTTCATTAAGTTTTTCTGCTGTGCTCTGTGAAAAAAACACATTGCCATGCTACTTTAACATGCTGTTCGCCGTTACATTTATCTTGGATTGGTAGTGTGTGGTATATTGAAGCTTTCTGTAGGAAACTTTGCCCTAGGTACTGGCCCCCTGTTCCCCTGTAAGAGCTTGCAGCTTGTCTGTAATGTTAGTTGTACATGATTGTGCAACTGCTGCTTTTCTTCACTTGAAAGGGAGGAAGGGGGAACATGACTGTTTGTGATAGTGCACCGTCAAATTAAAAACAGCTATGACTCCAAGAATAGTTTCTTATGGGGAAGAGTATAAAACAATTCTTCCAGTGATAACCTCTGTTCTTGCTCAGATGGTTCTATCTGCTGTGTTGTGTTGAGCTGTCCTAGTATGTGTCATGCATGGCTTAAGTATAATTTTTAATTTGGTTAGTAGTTAGACTTGTACATACAATAGTGGTGGTGGTACTTCTACACAGTGCAGACCCATGGTTGTAGGATAGTGATGTTTTAATGACTTTGCATTCTTATTTCTGCATTTCCCACTTTACAAATGGCTGCCCTGATGATACTGTTGCGCAAATAGGCAGTGGCAGAGAAAGCTGCTACATGTATGAACATGTCAGTGATCTAATTATGTCAAGAGGTAGCCAATATAACATGATACACACTTGAGTTTTTGGTAAAGATTTGCTCTATTCTTCTGTGGTCAGACTTAGGCTTGCTTTTAAGTTTGGAGAAACAGAAAGTTTCCCTTAGCTGGCTGTTAATCTTTTTTCAGAGCTTGAGGGCTAAATTCTCAAAGGGTGATATAGGTATGCAAATTCAATTCAGACTTGGCTGCCAGTGAACTGAATGGTATCAGGTTGGAATCTTATTTTTCTTTCTTTTTTGTTTAGATATTGAAGAAGGATAAAGAGCTCCTCAAAGGTTTGGAAGGTTGAATGTGATCAGCATGAAGAGCTTAAAAGCAAAGTTCAGGAAGAGTGACGTAAGTATTTCTGCTCAGTTTGACTCCTGGTTTCCATGCTGGAAACAAGTTCTTCACTCCCACCTTGATAAGGTTGTAGGTTAATGAATTACAGAGAAGAAAACCTTTTTCCAAGCACAAAGGCTACAGCTGAGTACAGTATGGAGTAGGCTGTTTCTATTTGGAGTGCAATTATCTGTTATGCAAACTAATAGTATTTCACTATCTTGCTCCCTATAACTGAATCATGCACATGTGTGGGGTCTGCAGAACTTCTGTTAGATTGTGGTGGTGCCAGACTGAAACTTTGTTCCAGGTACAGGATTAAGCCTAGTAAGGACTTTATTACCCAATCATATTTCTGTCTAAGCATAATACCATTCTTATCAGTGTGGTGTTTGATCACTTAACAAAATGTCTCCTCAGTCTGCGGCAGGGGTTCTTTGTCAGCAAGAATACAGGAACCAGCTGTGTAATTAGGGCAGCTGTGGCTTATCAGTTCTAGTGCAACAGGAGGGGTGGATATGAGGCTTGAGCAGTGAGGGTGACAGACATACATATGATGGTCCTACAGGAGACTACAAAACTGTATTTAGAGAGACATTAGGCTGCACATCATATTGCCTCTTGCTAGTAGTAGTAGTATCAACGAAGACCCAAGCTTGAACTTGTATAGTAAGCATACTTCCCTTGGAGCCGCAGAACTGCTGTAGTCCACTCCTGTTCTTGTCTGTCTTGTCTTACCGCTACTCATTCCAGCTTCTTGTCATGCACTAATGTTAATCCTTATTTGATAGTGCAGTGAGCAGTCAGTAAAATAGGTGACAGTGTTTAATTGACTCCCCAGATTTTGTGTGGAATTTGTAAAAAATATCCGTGATCTGTGAAGAATGTAATGTTCCATCCTTCATCCTAAATTTGCGTGCTGCTTTGAAAGAAGTGATGTATTGTTTTTTGTCATGGCCAGATTCCCATGAGGTCCTAGAGCAGCCATGTTTGGTCAAGATACATTAGGTTTGAAAATGGAGCTTCTTCAGAAGTTTTAATGTTCAGGAATAAAATTACATGCTGCAGTCAGGAGTAGTACAGGCTGTGCTTTGATGCGAAGATGGTCTCGTGGCACACCATTAGAATGGTGTCTTTAGCTGGCTTGCAATGCACTTCATGAGCTGTGAAGAAGGTAGAGATGCTGTTGTGGTGTAACTTGCAGATGTGCTGATTACTGCTTAAAAAGTCTTGAGCTGCAGGTTAGCATTTTGTGCAGCTGCTGTATTGGCTTCCTAGCAGCAGCACCGGTAGACGTTCTACTCCTTCAGTTTAGCAAGAGCTCTTTCTAAAAAGACCCTCTATAAATGAGCTAAATATGTCAACCAACCTTTGGGAGCAGATGGAAACACTTTTAACTACTTAAACAGTGTTTGGCTTTTGCTAGTCACCAGACTGAATGTGCCGGTGGCACAGTGTCTTGTGCCACTTCACAACAAATAAAAATAATGTCACAAGTCTCTGGTGTCTCGTCTAACTGAATATGCCATTCAGTTTAGAACTGCTAGAATTTTGTGGTCAGGCATTGTTGCTCCTGTTGCAATGAGTAGCAGCAATTGCTATTTTGAGTTCACCTACACCAGCAAAACTTTTTATAGGCATCTGCTTGAGTAATGAGAACAGTCCCTTGGCTAATATATGAACACACTTATTATGGAAGTTAGGTGTGCCTGTGTGTTAAGATGACTTCATTCACACTTTTATGCTAGTTGGCTGGATTACCACTCTAGAGCAAAGGCTAAGTGGCGTGTGTGGTGCAACTAGATCTTGCCGTAGCTAGTCCACCCACTGTTATAAATTGTACTGGTTCACTTATTCCTTACTTATCTATCCTTAATAACTTTCTCGTGTCTCTCCCCAAAACCAAGTGGAGTCTGAAGGTAATTGCTGTTTTGATACTACTGCTGTCTACTGGCTGGAGACAAAGTTGACCACAAAGGATTTTTCAGGTACCTAAAATTTAGATATGCAGCTCTAAGAGCACAGCAGTCTAAATCCGTGATAGTCTTGTTTCCTCTGATTTGAAGCCAGACCTTAAGGGTGGAATTCAAAACAGCCAACCGGAGGTGTTCTATATTTTGTGCAAGATAAGCAAGGAAAATTATCCTTCTCTTTCTAGTTTTCAGAAGCTGCCCTTAGCTGTAATTTGTGAGGATGAGGAAGAGGAAGTGGTTTTAATCGGAATTAGTCTTATTTGTATCTCAATTTATAAGATGTGGTAACTGCTTTTGTATTGGGGATAAGGGTAAAGTCAGCAGGGATGAAGGGACTCTTTTTCTCATCCCACCTCCCTTGTGTTTCTTTCTGGAGGAAGTCTTTAATGCCTTGTTTTGTAGAACTGAAGGTGTCTTGGGGGAAGAAACGGTACCCTTCTCTTTAGCCTCACTGTTAGCATTAAAAAAATGGGAGGAGTAGGAATAAGTCTTCAAGGTGTGTGTGAGAAACTGGAATTACACAAACACTTCTCCAGCAGTAAGGCTGATAACATAAAACTGTATGCTGCAATGAAGACCACGTAGGAAACTTCACTGATGTATTGAAGCTCTCTAGGCTGTTCAGCAGTGGCTGAATTGAAAGTGGGCACAACTGCTGATACTCATGCATGTGTTTCTGTGTCCCTGCTGTGGGGCTTTCTTCTGGTGCTGTAGCTACACCAGTCTTGCACCTTGCAAAAGAGATGTCCCTGCTCCCTCTTTCGTCTCTGCTCCTTCTGGTTTTGAGGGTATATGACCTGCAGTGATCCACTTCAGGGACATAAAGTAATGGAAAATGACTTTGTGGGGTGAGTTTTAGCTGGTTAACTTCCTGCTCTGTCTCACTGTAGGGTCAGCCCTGAGGAATGGTGAAAGCAGGAGGAGCAGCAGGACATCCCTTTCTGCAGCTGTTGCTTGGCTCAGCTGAATTGTCAAATCACACCCTGAGATTATTGGCCTAAAAAGCACAGGGGTGGGCATGCCAGCAAAGGAGTTGCAGGAACACACAAGTAAATAAGGCTGCTAATTTTGATATTTAGCAGAATTCATATAGTCCACAACTGAGAGATGGGAGCTTGACTCTTCTTAGATGGTAGAGTGACTCCTCACTTCGTGCTTTTTCTGCTCATCTCTCCTGTACCTCACCCGATTCACTCTCTGTGTGCACAGGCAGCTCTGTTAACTGGAGAATCTTGTTTCCTTGACACACTTAATCACTGTGAAATCCTTCCTGGGAGTGACTGTTGCCATGTGAACATGTGTATTTGGAGTGGAGGAATGAGATTTATCGCTCTGTCAGAAATGAGTATTGACAAAGTGTGATGTGTAGTTGCAGGAGGATGCTTGTAGACTGGAAATCTGTGGATAGGGTGCCTGCGTGGGAGCAAATGCTGAGACTGGAAGCGAAGTAGTGGATGTGCTCACTTCAAGAGTCTGTAGACAAACCAGCAGAAATTGCACTTATGTCTTGACAAAGGAACTAGTCTCTTCTGCCTGAGAAGCTGTATTTTCTCCAGTCTTTCCTCACTTCTTGCTCTTCGTTATCAAACTCAAACCCTACTGTTAATAACAGCTAAAAGCTGACAACCTAAAAGGATGACCATTTTGATTGTTGCAAGAGACTATTACATGTAACATTTGAAAAAGTTGATGTTGTAATATTGGGAACTATCACTTCAGAGCTTGAATTTGTTTATAGACTGTCTGTAGTTTATTTGCATGATAGAGAATGAATGTCTCAGAATGACAGAAGTTCTTCACTGTTTCTGCTTGAAAAAGCAGAGTTAGAAATAATCCAATTAAAACAAAAACAGTGCTACTGATGTCTTATTAGGCCTCTTACTAATATTTGAGATTGGAGTGTTTTCTGTAGTAAATGGTCAGTTTGTGGCCTGACTTCAAAAGCATCTAGAATCTTAAACAGGCAGATGAGGGCCGAGTAGATTTTCAAATGTGCAAAGATATTAAGCCTGTCTAAACGTGTTTTTTCTGCTTCTTAAATATTACAGGATGCTCATCAACATTTTTAGGCACCCACACACATTTAAATATCTAGCTCTTTGATACTAAGATGTTGTAGGAACCTAGGCAATCTGTTTAGGTAGATTTGTTTTTAACTGTGTTCTTGATTACTCCAGAAAAAGCGTATGGTGTGAAGGCTATGATGGGTTGGATTGTTTTCACTCTTTGACTTATATCTGTGGGTGAATAACTGAAAAGTTTTAGGACCATTTTCTGTGAGTATTGAAGATCGGCTGAAAAACATGTCTTGCAATTTTACAGTGGACCAATTTTCTTCTAATTGCTAGCTTGTTGACTGGACAAGAGGAATAATAGAATTTGCATTTGTTTCCAAATATCTTCAATACTGAATAATTAAAAAAGTAGAGTGTCTTTTAAAATTGAAAATTGACTGTGCAGTTCAGCAGAAAAAGTATCTATTACCAGAAGCAGAGCCAAGACAGGCTGGGATTTCCCAATGCTAACTGCCAGCTCTAACTTCTGGTATTTCTGGAAATGCTTATTTGTTGTACTATCATGCGGGGGTTGAAAAGTTTGCAGTTCTTATGAAAATTTCTGCTTTTTGGCCTGTGGTGTAGTCATTGTTCCATAAATCTCAAAATGATGAGGCAGTTAGGTATGTTGTACTATAAAATCTCAGTCTTAATCTAGACACTATGCTAATTAAGGCTTGGCACTTCTTTTTAATGCCCAATGTTCTAAGTAGCAGGCTCCCATTCAACAGTTTTTAAAGTATAAAATGCTACATGGGGGTCTGGAACAGAAAGATTGATGGGATACATTCCGTTGAAATCACTGTGTTCCCATGTGCTCTGGACTGAATGTGTGGGAGAACAAAACTTGGGTGGGGCAACTTTAAAAATAATAAAGCAGGATCTCCTTTAAACAGCCCTTAAATTCTTTTATCCACTGAAAGCTACAATTAAATTAAAAAGGAGCATGGGATTGTTGAAAATTGCACTATCCACTCTGTGTACATGT